ACATAAAATAGGAAAAGTTACATTTTTTACAAACAAAATATATCTCAAAAATAATGTTTCATATTTATTTAATAAATATTTTATTCTAAGAATATTTAATTTGAATGCAACTTAATAAGAAAAAGTAAAAAAAAATTAAATGTTTTTTTAGATCATAGCAATGAAAAATGAAAATCAATAATAATAATTTGAAATAAGTTTTTATTTTAATTTTAGTTAAGTCATCAAAATGATGTGACATCCACATCACCTCATTAAAGCCACACAAGCAAAAAAGTAAAAGGGTTAACCGGTTTAAAAGGTAACAGGTTACCCATTGCTATTATGGATATATTTTTTAAAGTACAATGTCTTAATAAAAAATAATTTGAAAGTACATTGTTGTAATAAAGAAAAACAAAAGTAGAATGCTATAATAAGAAATTTTATGAAAGTAGGTTGTTATTTCATGCATTTAACCCATATATATATATATATATTATGGAATATAAAATCATGAACAATATGTTTTACATGATATGTCTAAGACGTTTGTTGGTCCACCTATAGTTATGCATGTGAAACTGACTCCACGGTTTGAAATGCAGGCAACCAAAATCAAGATGTTTCGGTGTATGTCACTATATCACCTCAACACCTAGAAATAATGAGTGATTTATCACCGCGAAATGAAACCACGTGGTGCATACAACTCAGGGAAGATCTCAAAGAAACAACAGTTTTATGACCTGCAACGGTTTTATGTTATTGTTTATTGCAAATTATGTTTTATATTTTGAAATGGATGTTACGTATGGTTTGAAAAATCTCAACCTATAAAAAAATATTTAAAGAATAACCCAACCTAACAGTTTCAAGTTAGGTTGGTGTGAATAGTAGTAGTTCTGCACCAACATTAATTAAACAACTATTACTTACTACTATTGATTAATTGTCCTTTTATGCTACATGGATGACAAAGATTAAATCGGACTAACACTTGATTTTTGAAAATAGGAATAAAAATTACAAATGAAATCGTGATACAATTATGAAAGGAGTTAACTCAAGTGGTGTTAACATGTTTAGCAGATAAACGTATAACATATAAGAGGGATATCGAGTTCATCAGGTTGGGTTGACTCAGATAATTCTAACCCAATTCATATGGTTTGAAAATTATATAACTCAATTAGAACGTCAAATAGTTTCGGCATGGGTTATATCAAGTCGTGTTGGCTAGGTTGGTCGAGTTTTTATAGAACCCTAATATATGCATTGTTGTTTTAAATATATTTATAATATAAGAACCAAGTAAAATAAGTGTGACATTAGCAAATGAATAAATTGGTAAAACATTAGTTTCAATATCATAAAACATTTTAATAGATGCATATGAATTAATTAAAAAGAAACATATTTATCACATGTGATAATATACGTAATGAGACTTGGTAAGAGGCGAGTGACTTCGCTCGCAACCTAAATCGTGCCAACACCCTCATTTAACGAAGACGTGAGAAAACCCTTATCACATGTGAGGGAACCTGATGGTGTGCGGACAACGTGTCCTACGACCTTGGCCGCACCAAAATTCATCTCTATATTGTCTTTGATTTAGTATCGCATGTGATAGATTATTAATATCATACCAACAACACTCTTATCACATGTGATAATACATGTGAGAAAGGTCTAGTGATATACAGACAACTTGACCCACAACTTAGGTCATGCTAAAGATCGTCTGCGTTTTTGATTTAGTAAGTATATAAAATGTGATAGGAGTATATTAACCATTACATGTGATTGATTATAGTGAAATCGTGTCTTCATGTACTTGTAAAATGAAGGTGTTCTCGTTCATTTACATCTTTGATATCGTTTCACATGTGATGAACTATAGTATTACATTTAGTTGGTATGATAAAATAATAAAAGACTAAAGAATTATAATATTTATTTAAAATATATTTGAGGAGGTGTTATTAGAAATACTATATATATACGTCCCCACTTCCATTAGTTCCTCTCTACCACTCTTCTGATATATAGTGACCGAATTTAATTCATCTCACAGTCTCTCTCTCTCTCTCTCTCCGGCAAAAAGAATGTGTATTCATATATCACCATCTCTTTCTCTCTCTCTGTGAATTCGAATGAAGGTTAATGCCGATCGATCAAACGATCTTCACTCCGGTTATCACTCGTTTCAAATCCACAAATACTCACATACCCATAACTGGATCACCCTTTTAATCCCTTCCTAATTAATCTCTCTTATCCAAACTTAGATATATAATCACTTCAAACAACACGTTCCTTTTGACTGAACGCCTTTTCTTCGAATCTAAGCCAATTCCCACCGTTCATATTAACCCATAATCCACTATTTAACTTTCTTCAAGAATCTTTATCCATCGCCATATTTCATAAAAAACCATGAGTTGTTTAAGAGAATTGGAAGGCAAAATGGTTCATGATCATCATCATCATCATCATCCTCATCCTCATCCTCACTATCTACAAGACCATGGTCTCACCCGACGTGTATGGGTCCCTGGTCCCGTCATCGTTGGCGCTGGACCATCTGGCCTCGCCGCTGCTGCCTGTCTTAAAGACAAAGGCGTACCCAGCATCGTTTTGGAGAGATCCAATTGTATAGCTTCTCTTTGGCAATTCAAAACGTATGACCGCCTCCGGTTACATCTCCCAAAGAGCTTCTGTCAACTGCCGTTGATGCCCTTCCCGGAGGATTTTCCGACGTACCCATCTAAGCAACAGTTTGTGGAGTACTTGGAGGCCTACGCAAAGAGATTCGGGATCAAGCCGGTTTTCGAGCAGGAGGTGGAGAGTGCTGAGTTTGATGATAGTGTAGGGTTGTGGAGAGTGAAGAGTGTAGGGTTGAAAGGCGAGGAGATGGAGTATGTTTGTAGGTGGTTGGTGGTGGCTACCGGAGAGAATGCTGAGGCGCTGGTGCCGGAGATCAAAGGGATTGAAAGTTTTCATGGGAAGGTTCAACACACGGCGGAGTATAGAAGTGGAAGCAGTTTTAAAGGCAAGAAAGTCTTGGTGGTTGGTTGTGGGAATTCTGGAATGGAGGTTTCTTTGGATCTTTGCAACCATAATGCTCATCCTTCTCTTGTTGTTAGAAATGCTGTGAGTCTTCCATTAATTCCTCTAATCATCACCATCATTAAACATCTTCTTGATATCACACAATCATAACACTGTTTGTTTGCGAAATTCAAATGTTATACATCTAAGAACCCACATACATACATGATACATGATCCTATCAGTGATTGATTCGAAAACCCTAATCAGTGTAGGTTTGAAAAAATCTACTGAAATGAAAGATTTGGTAATGAGTAGATCAAATATGTAAGAAAATGCCACTTTCTTGGAACTCACAAGCATGCGAGCAAATAACACAAGACCCTATTGATTATAAAAATTGAAAAAGAAAAAGACAGGTAAAAAACTATGGAGATTAATTACTGTAAAGCTTCCTTTTGCATATGGTGTCCTTGGCCCTCAATGAAAGTGAAACTACTACTCCATATGACCAAAAAAGTGCTCTCACACACCCCATTAAAACTCCCACTTTATTTCTCTTTTTTATTTTATTTTTTCAATTAAACAAAAATAATATAACTGACAATGCATCATATGTTGAAAAATAGGTCCATGTCCTACCACGAGAGATGCTAGGAAGATCGACTTTTGGGTTGTCCATGTGGTTGCTCAAGTGGTTACCTGTAAAACTCGTTGACCGCTTTCTCTTGATCTTGTCATGGCTGATATTTGGAGACACGGCTAGTTTTGGACTTGACCGGCCTCAAGTAGGACCTCTTGAGCTAAAAGGGAAGACCGGAAAAACTCCAGTATTGGACGTGGGAACCCTTGCCAAGATCAAAAGTGGAGACATCAAGGTAAACCAAGCTACTGTATATATGCATCTATAGAGGCTTTTGTGTTGCTTTTGGTTCTCTTCATTTCCTTAAACATATATTCTCATATCTTTGTGCTTTTCTTCTTCTACTTTGGACTATCCCTTTTCCTGTTTCTAATGTATGATCACTTCATTGAATGTACTTTTGATTATAGTATTTGTGTTTTTACGTAAAAAGTAAATAGAACTGCTTTTAGAGAAAGTTCTGGGAATACTCAATTGAGTATACCAAATCTTATGTATGGTAGAATATCTGAAGAATTTCTTCTATGAGACCTGAAATCATGTAGACTGCAGCATTCCATTTTCAGTAAAAGTTCATGTTAAAAGCTAGTGTTGTCAGTCCATTAACATCGTTACAAGTGATTGCTGGTATTGATTTGAGTTCACAAGATTTATTTGAAATGTTGTATTTTCGATGCGATGAAAGGAATATTGTTCAAAAGACACGTTAACTTATGTAGTCGAGAACCAGTTAGTTGTTTAACGACAAGATAGTTTCTGTTTTCTTATGTTTTTCAATCCACTTCTCCAATAAACTTTGAATCCAACACATTTCAGGATGAACAGATGATGAATGTTTTTTGTGTTTGAATCAATTGTGAGCTTAATATGATGTTTCCATTATGCTTAATTTGTATTTTAACTTGTATAGGTGCATCCAAGCATTCAAAGTGTGGGGCATCATAGTGTACAATTTGTGAATGGAAGAGTAGAGAATTTTGATGCAATCATTTTAGCAACAGGATATAAAAGCAATACTCCTTCTTGGTTAAAGGTACTTGACTAAAACATCCTTCATTCCAACAAAATCACTTCAAATTTCAGTTCCAATTTGTCCACATGATCTAAAACGTCATATTCCACATGCAGGAGAAAGAAATGTTCTCGGAAAAAGATGGGATGCCATGGAAACCATTCCCTCATGGCTGGAAAGGCGAATGCGGACTATATGCAGTAGGGTTTAGTAGACGTGGCTTGTTAGGTTCTTCTACAGACGCTAAAAGAGTATCCGAAGACATAAACAAGTTCTGGAAAGCCGAAGCCAAACATATGGCCATGACCATTGGACGATCATTCACATTCCAACCCTAGTTCTAGCTTTCTTGCTACATGACTTAGAGAACACAAGTTCCATTTAATTACAAAATATTTTTGACACTAAAAAATCAACCAAAAGTTGGTCATCAATTTGTAGAAAGCTGAGCTAGGAATGGTGGTGGAACTCCTTTCTTCAAACCCATTAGAGTATTTATATTTCTTGATTTGGGGACAAGACCTCTATCTTGATCTAGGGTAGTGTATCTATACATCTTGTACATTGCCACAGTAATTTCTTTGTTCTATAGAGAGGGATAGGGGTAAAGAGTGTAGGGTGGTTTTTTATATCAGATGATGTTCTTAGCATAGTTGTGATAATCCTAACAGACCATTTTTCTTGTAGTGTTCATTGATCGTTGTTGCGAAAGCTTGATTAATTCATAGTTTACATGAGATTTGGTATTTAATAATAAAAGTTATAGTCATCTAATAAATGTCCCTTTTTCTGTTTTGTTCTGTGTGGTTGCTAGTATTCCCCTTTTTATGAGGATTGTATGCTTGAGATCGACAGAAAACTTGTGATCACTTTCTCCTGAAATGTCATAATTGGGTGTTTGAGGGATCAGCAAGAGATTGACCAAAAACTCAATCTCTAGCTGATCTCTCGCTAATCAGCGAGGGAATATATTTTTGGCCGATCCCTTGCTGATTTTCGTCGCTGATAACTGGTTTTCTAGTAGTGAAAAGCGAAAAACATATTTTGAAGACGGATATAACATGAAAGTGATGCTTTCGTATCGAAATTCCAAAGGATCACTAGACCATTCATAACTTTCTATTCTCTTCCAATGTTATTGTTGCAATAATTTCGTTCTCAACTAGTTTCCAGGACCACAGTTTGAACAAATTATGACGGATACGGCTCTTTTCTTCACAATTTAATTGATCTCTATAATACGGTTTCAAAGACATTGATTGTGCTACTCATGTGTTTTCTTGATAAGTTGAAACCCTAATGATCCTCTAATTAGGGGTGGGCTAAATGCAACCCTATGCATTGCTTAATGCACCCTTATCCATGAATTTCTTCCTCACACACATCAAAATCAATACATGCTTTTTACATTCTCAATGCTTGAATAACCTGATTCTGACATCAAAGGGGGTGCCATTAGCACTCCCCTCTAATTAATGGTCTCTTCACAATTTAGGCAAGTGATTTGACCATTCATGTGATTGTTGATCAATAGTATGGGTTTTGTTGAATATGCTAATTAAGTACATAAATTAATTACATGGTCAATCTTAATTAGGTTTATGTAATCATTAATTAATCTTTGTTGTTCAACTAATGTCATCCAAGAAATCTAACCACATGTTATTAATTTCTTATTATGGTGATCAAATAATATTTGACTTTTTTTTTTTACGAGTGTTCGAGTCAACTTGTATGCATCTTGATCAATCTTAGGGGTCTTAAAGAACAGTCGAAAAAAATCCTCAGTGGTCTTGTATGACTCGAACCAGTGACTTCTGAGAAGAATCCCATTGGTTAACATGCGGAAAACACAATAACATATTTACAAAACCAATGGCAATTTATATAAAAATAGTTGTAAATAATCTAAAGTGGTTTACTTGGAGTTTAGCAATTCAATGATTCTTACTTGACAAAAATGCAGCATTAAAAATGTTTAAAATAATTAAATACCATTTACATTAGGTAAAAGTCAATCATTCTAACATGCTTGTTTAAAAAATTAAGGAGTTTAAGTCTAAATATGTATTAAAATGGGCTTTGGTTACCTAAATTGCATCACAAATTAGTTTAACATGCAAGATGTAAACAATTAGAGTATAAATTTAACACTTTCAACTATTATACACACACACACACACACACACATATATATATATATATAGAGAGAGAGAGAGAGGGGTTTAGGGAAAACCATAAAAAAATGAAAAACTGAAGAACACCCTGGTAACCGTTCATTTGAACGATATGTACATGTGTATACAAGTAATTGAAGTTGTTGTTTTTTTATGCAAGTGTGCATGTTACAAGTTATTTGTATGCACGTGTGCATGTTACAAATTATTTGTAAGCCTATGTACATACTGTCTGGATGAACGGTTACCAGGGTGTTCCTCGGTTTTTCATTTTTTTGTGGTTTCCCCTTGAACCTGACCCTATATATATATATACACACACACACAGGATTAGTTTTTGGTGAGAAGTGTAAGAAGATGTCTTTACCCTGGGATCAATCATAATTGAATGTTAACACTAATGGGGTGCAGCGAGATGCACCAGATCAATTCCCTTTTAAAACACAGTTCATGGATGGGCATGAGATTAAAAGTGATCAAAAGTTCAGATCTCTTCCTACGTTTCTCACTGTAACTTCCATTCTCACACGATTTTTCGCCTACATATACATATATGGACTTAATCATTTAAGAAACTCATATATTCCGATAATGTGAGAATTTCTCGTAACGTATTGTTTTACCTGACTTCTTCTATCTAAAAGTAAGACTATAACTTAATATATTGATTAACATATATTTGTTTCACAATCTTTTTGTTTCATATATATTCGTTTACAATGTGAAACTTTTTAGTTGTATTTTTTGTTTCACAAACATACAAAAAATGTTCGCATGGTAAAACGAATATATGTAATCCTAAATTGATTATTATGAAAACAACCCACAACACGACACGTGATATATTCATCAGGAACATGGACACCATGAATGATGTTATTCATGATGAATAACATGTACATATTTTATAATAAACCTGTATTCATAATGAATATTCATTATGAAGAGAACACATGACATTAATTTTGAACAATTTCTAAATTCCTAATCAATTTCGAATTAAAACAAAAGTTTCTTCTAGATCTCTCTCTATATAATATGTGTGTTCTATAACATATGGGCCTAGTATATATAAATATGAAAAGTGATAGATGATTACCATGATGGGTATATATGTATGTATGGACATAACATGATGTATCATTAATAATAGGTGGGTATGTACATTGATTTTGGTGGCCAAGTATAATACATGTTACATAAAGGGTATTGATGATTATATATGATGGGTATCCATAAACAAAGGACTAAGACTTTGTTTAAATAGAGTCTAACAAATATAATAAAAAATTTAAATGGATATATTTTTAAGAGAATATTTAAATAATGATGAACAGATGGGAAGATGGAAATTAAAATTTTATATATAAATCATTAAAAATTTGATTTTAAGATGCATCTTTTAGCTCGAATAAATAATTTGTAACCAATGTTTACCGTTCACATATGCATTTTTAAATGGATTTTTTCAATAATACACATTGATTTTTTTGGGTATGTTGTTTACTATATTTAGTGTTTTCATTTGAAATCTTTCACTATACTTTTATTATAAGAGATAAGGTTCAATACAAATATACTAATAAAATACTTATATTTTATAATGTCAATATATGAACATTTAATTAGTATGAAAATATTTCATATATATATATATATATATATATATATATTCGTAGGTTCATTTGAGAAATGATAAGTATTTGAGAAGTCGAAAGGTGATCCTGACCCTTCATCTGGTCAAGATTTGTGACTTTGATTGTAAATCACATGATAATTCATCGTATGGTATGTGGAAGATAAATGAGTAGTTTTGTAACTTTTATAAATAAGCGGCAAAACAAGTACATATGTGAATACGTGTGATTCACGTGTGAACAATATGTTTATATGTGAACTCATGTAATTCACATATGAACTACATATGAACCCGTGTGATTCACATATGAACTAATTAACTGATTCACATATATACACGTGTGATTCACATATGAACTATGAGTTCATATACGCACTTGTTTGCCGCCTATTTATAAAAGTTACAAAATTACCCTATTTTTCATTTGATCAATCAAAGCTGCAAATCTTAACGAGTCAAAGTTGCAATCTTTAGTCAGTTAAAACCGTAATTTTGAGTCTCTGACCAATCTTGACCGTATAAAAATATGATCACTTATTTACTTCTCAAATACTTGACACTTTTTAAATGAAGTTTTTCCTATACATATATATATATATCATGTGTTAATTAATGTAATTTTTATATTAGTTTCAACAACTTGTGTATATAAAGTTGTTAGTAGATACAGATGAATTATTAGACATTAATATGTTATACATAGATCTTCATATAATATAAGAGTATCTTTGTTTTTTTTATAATTTTTTTATAATTTATTATTTTGAATATTATATATATATATATATATGTGTGTGTGTATGCATGTATATGATATGTATATGCATTAATAATAAGTGGTCCAATTGATATTGGTTGCTGAAGAAAGCTAAGGATTTTATAATTATTGATTTATAGGAGGGACCATTTGGTCAAATTCAATCTACTCCACGGGTTCACAATTTTGCTCCATTTGACTTCTTGAAGCCATCGTTGCCTCTCGATATAGTCAAATAACAAACAAGTGCTCAAAAAGCTTTTAATTTAGTGGTATGTGAGTCATTAATTTTTTAGAAGTTTAAGAGTTTAAATTTTACTAAAAATAAGGAGGGTGTGTAAATTTATATGTTCTATTTATCGTATATAAATATTATATATTTAAAAAAAAAGTCGAAATAAATTGATTCAAGTCATAAAATAAATAAAAAAACTATTAAATCATTTGATTCAAGAAATTCTGAAACTTTATTTTAGTATTAATAATTATTTAAACTCTGTAACATTAATTTTAGAATTTCTTGGTTTAACTTTTTTGCTTAAATATATAATTACAAAAACATAATTATATATATATATATATATATATATAGGGGGGGGTTCAAATAAAAACCACTCAATTTGTAAAAACCGTGAAAACCTCATTCAACCAATCATAATTTTTCATTTTGTTCATTTTTTTGTAATTATGAGAGGTTGATTAACCATTTTTATTGTGGAG